TCTCTCTCTCTCTCTCTCTCTCTCTCTCTCTCTCTCTCTCTCTCTCTGTCTCTCTCTCCTCTCCCTCCCTCCCTCCCTTCATCCCATTCTCCCTCCCTCTTCTCTTCACTCCTGATGTACCTCTTTATAGCACCAGGCATTCCGTTATTTAGTTTGTTCTCAAGCCTTTGATTGCACTATGTGATTGCATTAGAATGTCCTCATCACCTAACCACCCCACCTCTCTGCCTTTCCACCCAGGAACTCCTGCAGGCTCAGCAGAATGTCACCCCTAAGAGGCCTTTAAAACATTCTCATGGTTGGATGCCCCCACCCAAGGCTGACACAGTTGCCCCTGTTCTTGACTTTCGGGGCCCCTTGAGCACATCACTGTCATGCACAACTCTCATTTGGTCACCTGTGAGCATGTCTAACTTGCCCAAGAGCCTGTGTGCTGGAGTCATGTCTGCTCTCTTCCCAGTTGATCTAGGCATGCAAGGTGGGCCAACTGCTTCATACATGAGCACTCAGTCAGTGGTACAAGAAGGACCACAACCTGGACTGTACCTTGCTCACCAGCGCTCGTGTCCAGGCATGGGGCTGCACCCACTAAAGAAGAAAGAATACCATCTTCTGATTTGCTACTGGGGCCTGTAGACCAGTAGCAGCCCTCCTTGCTGTTATACTCCTTACACCCCTGGCCTAGGAGAAGCTCCCTAAACCACTGTTCCTTGTATTAGATACATGGATGTGTCAGCATACCTGCTAGCACTTGCTCCCAAGTCTCTCCCATACAACCTGTTATTCATAGCAGAACAAGCCCCTGCACTTACCCACTGTGCTGAACACTGTGCAGCAGAAGAAGAGAGCACTCAGGAAGGACCAGTCCTCTGGAGCCTTGAACCACTGGGGTTTGAGCTGCTGCAGATGCGCACACAGGTTCTTCCTGCTACCTTCAACCACTGGGGAGAGACCAGGGCGATGAAAGAGCCACCTGTCTAGACAGTGCTGCCCAGTGAGAGGACTGGGGCCAGCAGCACCATCCACCCACCCCAATTGTCCCCAGCAACACTGCAACCTGGCTATCAAAGCCATCCTTGAGAATGCTTCCATGGTTTAGATCCAGCTGCTGGTGCCCATGGAGACTGACAGGTTCCATAGTTCCATGGGAGCCTGAGTGTGAGCTCAGCAGTCTTGGGGGACCCCTCCCTCCCTCCCTCCCTTCCTTCCTTCCTTCCTTCCTTCCTTCCTTCCTTCCACAGTCCCAAACTAATTTTTTTTTTGAGATAAAAAGAGGGCCCAGACTGACCCCCCAATGCTAAAATAACCAAAGATATCCTTGAGTTTCTAATCTTCCTGACTCTGCCTCCCAAGTGCTGGGATTACAGGCCTGGGCCATTGAGGATGGTTTATGTGACTTTATACATGCTAGCAAAGCCTTCTTTTTTTAAAATTTTTATTTATTTATTTATTTATTATATGTAAGTACACTGTAGCTGTCTTCAGACACCCCACAAGAGGGCATCAGATATCATTACAGATGGTTGTTAGCCACCATGTGGTTGCTGGGATTTGAACTCATGACCTCTGGAAGAGCAGTCAGTGCTGTTAACCACTGAGCCATCTCACCAGCCCCTAGCCAAGCCTTCTACTGCCTGAGCTGCAACCTTAACCCCTTGAAGGATTTCTTAGTATTTGATGCATTTTGCTTTTTTTGTTTTGTTACTGTTTGGGTTTTTGGAGTTTTGTTGCTGTTTTTTTTTTTTTTTTTTTTTGAGACAGGGTCTTGCTATGTACCCTTGGTTAGCCTAGAACTTGCTATGTCGGACAGTCTGGCTTCAGATGGCACCAATCCTCCCATCTTTGCCCGGTGGGTGCTTAGATTACAATCATGTACCACCATGTCCAGCCTTCTTTATTCATTTTAAAGAGAAATAAAAGCCTCTGCTGTCTCTCTTGCAGAATTCTAAACTGGAAGCAAAGGGCTTTCAGCAAGGCTGACTGTGGTAAGACACCCTGGCTCCTGCAGTACACAGAGCCACCGACTTGATGAGCTCCCCAGGGTTTCAGCTCAGCCTGCAGCTGTCTCTTGGGATGGGAACCCTTGGTCCCTGGGCTCAGAGCATGGCACAGAGCCTGGCCCGCAGCAGAAGCCACCATTCATTTTAATTGAATGGCACCAGTCTGGGAATCTAGCATCTAGATTCAGCTTAACTACTTATAGCTCTAGACAAAAGCCTCGGTTCCAAGCCTCAGTTTCCCCATTTGCCAAGTAGTGTGGCTTGGTAATAAGACTCTACAATGCAAATGCCTCGGATAGAATTCCTGTCTTGTTGGCATGTATGTGAACTCTGAAAGTTATGTAACCTTCCAGGGCCTCTATCAAAAAAGAGACAATTCTTACCCACAGTCAGGGTACCTGGGGGGGATTAAGTGAGAAAATGCATGATGTCATCTAACACCCGATCAGCCCTGACTCCCCAATGCTCCTTGACTGCATACTCTGCTGCTGTGTCTCCAGGATCCCCTTTACAAATGAGATTTTCAGTCCAGCCTCAGGGACCCTGACTGTGTGGATCGGGAAGAAAGCTTGGAGATGTGTTCTTTAAACAGATCCCCTGGGTGAATCTGAGGTGGGAGCTGGTTCAGGGAATCCCTGAACTTGATGGAGACTGGAGTCTTACGACAGCACACCAAGCATCTCCCTGGCCACTGAGTAGAGCCGTCACTATGACAAAGATAAAAGAAGAGGCACACTCTACAGAGTGGGATTCTGCATTCTCGGACCAGCTTTTACTCAATCCCAGCTGACAAGGCTTGCTCCCAAACTGTGTCCCTGGGGAGTACCAGCATGCAAAGGCCATTCAGGACCATGAGCAGAGGGAAGCAGGCTCCCAACCTTTGTCTCCTGTTTGTTTGTTTGTTTGTTTGTTTGTTTCCCATTTATCCTTTATTCTCTTTTATTTTCTCTTGTTCTGCCGACTATCTTTCATCTCTGGTCTTCTCATGCTTTGTTGATTATACCTTTGCAGAACCAGACCAAGGGATGAAATACAAATGGACAGGTGCTAAGGATGCCTGTTGAGTATCTCCTGCCTTCAGAAACCTAGTGCCGTCTCGTCTCTGACTTAAAAGGGTTCTTACTATTGGCCGGTCTCGGAAGGTGGATCTCCCTTCTCTCCGGTAGACTATGGTCCTGCTGGCATAGATCTCACACACTAAGCTAAAACAACAATCTGGCCATCACCAGTCCCAACTCCTGACCACACCCCCCACAAGCCTACTACAAACAGACTGAAATAGGAATCAACTTGTTCATCCTGGGGAATCCAAGCCCAGTTTAGATGGTTCCTTGAAGTCTCAAAGCTGGAGTTGCACCACCGATCCCACCCACTCCACCAAATCTCTATCTACTAACCCTCTCCTAAGCCCTGGGGGCCGGGTGGGACTGCCGGGAGCCTGAGGCACAGCTGGGAAGGGAAAGCTGGGCCTTAAGAGCACCTGCTTATAGCTCTATCTTTCCTCACTGCTCCCCTGGGAGAGTGTCTGTTCATCTTCCCACTGCTCGGAGAACAGAAGTGAGACTCAGGGAAATCATTTGCCTAAATTCTGTCAGGAGTGAGAATGTTACAGGCAAGCTGCTCACGGCCTCCTGCCAGGGCACCTCTGAGGCAGTAACTGCTCCTTGGCACCTACCTGTCAGGTTACATTTCAGGATGTTGCACAGATCGTCCAGGAACTTCTTCAACTCAGGGTTTTCTTCTGCTTCAGGGTCAGGGCGGCCCTCGACAGCGGAGAAAAGAGCAGCACCCACCAGCGCATAGGTCACCAGGCAGCAAAGGAAGCAGAGGCCGGGCAGAAGCTTGCCCAGGGCCTCAGGACAGCATCCCCTGGCCTTCCCCAGGGCCTCAGGACAGCATCCCCTAGCCTTCCCCAGGGCCTCGGGGCAGCATCTCCTGGCCTCAGGTGGCTCCTCAGTCTCCATCCTCTTGGAGCAGCTAAGGGTAGGACAGGAGGAGTGTGTAGAGGAGGCTGGAGCATCCAGCCTGGGAGAGGAAGGTGGGAGTGGCCGGAGAATGGCCAGGCTCCAGCCTTAAGTGGATGGTGCGTGAGCTTCCCAGAGGACTCGGAAGCAGCCGGAACCCATCATGTTCAGCTCATCCAAACAACTGGGTTGGCGCCCCTACTAGCGCCCCAAATTGTTATTGATCCTCCTAGCCAGCGCCAGAGTTTCTGGCGGGGGCTTTGGGAGGACCTCAGAGATTGTTTTGTACTTTACTCTGCCTTTTCCGTTCTGAAACTGCAGCTTCGGCTTCCAGGTACCAAATCTGACATTCAGTACTTAGTCAAATGACTGTTCTTTCTGAACACTGTTCAGGCACCTCTCACCCCAGCATACCTGGAATACGGGACAACGGGAATAAAAATTAGCACAGCATAGGCCCACTGTTTCCAAAATGCAGGAACCTGTCTGGGTCTCTCAGTGGCCTGGAACTTGCCAAATAGACCAGGCTGGCTGCTCTGGAAACCCGTTCACTGGTCTCCACCTCCCCAGGCTCCGCCCTCCAGACTCCGCCTCCCCAGTACTGGGATCATAAACAAGTGCGGTCAGGCGCTGCCCTTTTCTTCTTTTTTCAAACGATCATTTTGGGGATTGAAACTCGTGTTGGCAAGGCACATACCTTACCAAGTCATCTACGTAGCTTGAACTTACTATTTATTGTGTTCTTCCTCCTCTAGAGGAAAGCAAATCTTTCTAATCCAGGGTGAGTGAAGTATTACGGCTTAAATATAGTTGTCCTCCCAAATTCTCTATTGGGGAACTCTGCCTTTTGGGCCCTAACTGGCTATTGCTAGCTGGAAATCAGAACATCCGTGACTACCCACGTGAGACATCCACAAGGCCGCTCCCATTTCTGAGGATATGTCAGAGGCTGAGGAGAGGGACTACTTGGGGGATATAGCTGTCTATGAGCTGCCCATTCACCTCTGAGTAAGTCCAAGACACTGGTGTTCACCAAGCCGGACTTGGATAGAAGTGTCTCTCTGCTGAGTCACTGTCTTTCTTTCTGAGGTGACGAGAAAGAGAGCCTCTCTTGGATTGGCAAGTAAGAGGGCATACCATCAGGCTCGACAGCCTGAGTTCCGTCCCCCAGATCCACAAGTGAAATGAGAGATCTGGCTTCTGCAGGTTGCCCTCTGATTTCCACGCAGGTTCCGTGGCATGTGCACGCATATACACGTGTGCATACAGACACTAATAAATAAATATTAAAAATTATGAAGAGGGGGCTGGTGAGATGGCTCAGTGGTTAAGAGCACTGACTGCTCTTCCAGAGGTCATGAGTTCAAATCCCAGCAACCACGTGGTGGCTCACAACCATCTGCAATGAGATCTGATGCCCTCTTGTGGGGTGTCTGAAGACAGCTACAGTGTACTTATAATAAATAAATAAAGTTTAAAAAAAACAAAGCAAATAAATCTTTAAAAAAAAAATAAAAAAAAAATTATGAAGAAATAAACTTCCAGATTTGGAGAGAGATGATGGCTGAACAGTTAAGACCACTGGCTGATCTTCCAGAGCACCTGGGTTCAATTTCTAGGACTCACATGGTGGCTCACAGCTGTCTGTAACTTCAAGGGGTCCAGTGAACCTTCTGGCCTCCACAGAAACTATATGTTCATGGTACACAGACTTCCATGCACGGAAAATATCCATATACACAAAATAATAATAAAAATTATTTTTAAAAAGAGTTTTTAAGACTTTATTAATTCTCAGTAAAATAATCAGTCACCATCATATAGGGCTTGGAAGAACTAACTCAGAAGGTAAAGTAAGCAGCTACCACATGAGGATGCTGTCATGAGACACAGGAAGATGTGTCAGCAGAGTAGGCCCTCATCAGATACTGACACTTTGACCAGTGTCATGGTGGACATCTAGCTTCGGAATTGCATGAAATTAACTTCTGTTCTTTATAAATGACCCAATGTGTGACTTTTGATATAATTAACGTGAATGGACCAAGATGGGGGGAATAGCACAGTTCTCCTGAAGACCCTGGTCACCATATTCTTCTCCACTCTCTCCTCCAGACCTCCCACCTCTCCTGTAGGCATTCAGGGGCCAAGCTGCTAAAGCACAAATAGCCCACCAAGTCTTTTATAAGTAACGAGAAGCCAATTACACGCCTACATTAAGCATGGCATTGATTCCTAAAGATCAAATTGCTGTGTTACAATCGAGTTGTACAGCCAACTTTATATTTGTATCCTGCAGGTTTAATCACTGCAGGGGAGAGTGTGGGAACGGAAGGAAGAAAGTCTTCATATAAAAGGTTGGCAGGAAGAGGGTGGGAGAGAAAGCCAGACCTCCAAGGCTTGCTTATTTGACCCCACCTACCCACATGTGCGGCCTCCGGAGAATTACTTCTTACTTAAATTTCTACTTGTAACCCTTTGATTCTGCCCTGAGGAGAGGTCATGTGGTCTGCCACAAGCTTAACAAGATAAGGACAGTTCTTCCAGAAAAGACAAACATGCAAGGCTGGATATAGATATAGATATATAGATATAGCCCAGATGGCAGGAAGCTTGCCTAAGATGAATCGAGCCCTGGGTCCTGTTTCCAGCCTTGCAGAAACATGATGTCCTGGCACATTCTCACAATCCCAGCATTTGTGATGTGAATAAAAGAATATATCCAAGATCATCCCTAGTTACCTAGTGAGCCTGAGGCCAGCCCAGACTATGGGATCCTGTCTCAATTAACAAGTAAATATGTAAATTTAAAAGACGAGACATCTTCCAGAAAGGAAGACTAAGGCAGTCACTGACATTATTTACACACGAATAGCAGTTCTTCATCTAGACCAATATGCTGATGGATGGGGAAATAAGGCTGAAAACACACATGCCAGCCAGTGTACTCAGAGAATAATGTAGGTCACGGGGTTTGAATATAAAATGCCTCCCATAGCTCATGTGTTCTAGTGCTTTGATTTTACTTTAGGTCTCTGGGCCATCTAGTCTCTGGCTCTTGGTTACCCAAGAGTGTGGAGTATGGCTTCTGTCTTGTGGACTGGGCTTTAAGTCAAATCAGACATTGCTTAACTGCTCTCACAAGTTCTGTGACATCATTGTCCTAGCCTATTATGCAGGCAGGACAGGTTGCAGGTCAAAGGATTTGTGGCTGTGTTGGTGTCCACATTTCTCTCTCGGTAGCCTGCAGGGTACCTTCCCACACCAAAGAGACTAGAACACAGGGGTAAAGTCTTCATGTAGGCACCAGGGACTTCTCCATGTTCAATGAGTTGTGTGGTTGTTGTCCTTGCCAATGGGGCCCTGCAGTCAGTTTGCAGAGAGCAATCTTTTTTCTTGGCAACATCCTGGGTTGTTTGGTCATTTCTATGGGGACCCCCCTTGACCAACAACTCAATGGAATGCTCCCAGTCCCACCTGTAGCTTGGCCTCGCTTGGCTACAAGAGATGGCCAGTTGAGACTCTATCTTCCATTACTAGGAGTCCTCTTTAGGTTTGCCATCATAGATTTCAGGAAGTTCCCACTACACTAGGTTTCCACATTACTCCCCAAATGCCCCCCAATTCCAGCCATTTCTCTCTGCCCTTCCCCCACCAGATCCCACTCACTTCTATCTCCACCCCAGTTCACCTATAAAATCTATTCTATCCCCCCTCCCAGGGGGAAGCATGTCCCCCTCTATGTCCTCCCAGACTCCTCTCTTTACCTAACCTTTCTTGGATTGTAGCTTGGTTATCATTTGCTGAATGGCTAATATACACTCATGAGTGATTACATAGTATCGGCATTTGTCTTTCTGAGTCTGGGTTATCTTACTAAAGATGATTTTTTTTCCCCTAGTTCCATTTGCAGGGGTGAGTGTGGGAATGGAAGGAAGAAAGTCCAGAATTTTTCATGACATCATTGTCTTTAACAGCTGAGTAATACTTCATTGTGTAAATGCGCCACATTTTCTTTATCCATTTTTTTCTGTTGAGGGAGATCTAGGTTGTTTCCAGTTTCTAGGTATTAATGAATAAAGCTACAGTGAACTTGATTGAGCAAGTGTCCTTGTGGTAGGAAGGCATGTCATTTGAGAATATGCCCAACAGTAGTATAGCTAGATATTGAGGTAGATTGAGTCACAACTTTCTGAGGAACTACCATATTGGTTTCCATAGTGGCTGCACAAATTTTCACTCCCTTCAGAAATGGAAGAGTGCTCCCCTTACTCCACATCCTTTTCCAGCATGAGCTGTTGCTTATATTATTGAGGTTAGCCATTCTGTTGGGTGTAAGATGGAATCTCAGAATAGTTTGGTTTGCATTTCCCAGATGGCTAAGGATCTTAAACATTCATTTAAATGTTTCTCAATCACTTGAGATTTCTCTATTTAGATCTGCCCTGTCATTCCTAGCAAGTGTGTGTGTGGTGGGGGGAACAGAGGAGGCAGGGAACAGCCAGGCTGGGATGGAGACCTCAGGTGGTGAGTGAGCAGGGTGAGAACAGACTCTCAACAGGAAACAGGCTTTAGTGACTCAGTGAGACAGCTCATTTAATTGGGGGGAGAGTGCAGGGGACAAAGGCTATTTAAACCTTTGGGTAGGAGCCATGGAGTGAGTATACACCATTAGCCAGGGCCAGGGTGCTGAGGATGTCTCATTTGCATAAGGAAGAATTCTATGTGCTGCTAGGGAAAGAAAGTTTAACTTGGCTAATGGGCTGTGTGACCTCTGCTGTTTGGGCAAGGGTGGGGGCACAGGTGTATATGCACTGGGACATGCAAGGCTGGGGCAGGTAAGGGAGCAATCCTACCCCTGCTGATCCTGGGATGAGATTTCTGAGGTTTGGATGGGCCTTGCTCCAAGTCTTCTCCCCATGGTTCCACATCTCCCTCAGCCCCACACCTACCCCATCTTTTGATTGGATTCTTTGTTGTTTTTTGTTTTGTTATCAAGTTTCTTGAGTTCTTTGCATATTTCAGATATTGGTCCTCTATCAGAGTGTGGAGCTGTTGAAAAATCTTTTTTCATTCTGTA